GAACGATGTATCAATTATTTCGCACTGTTCCTGGTTTCATAATTTATAAAGCACGGAATGGCGCGAAATACTAAAACGTGAACTGTTCCCAGGCGAGAATAAGTGACTCGTTGTCACACAATACTTGCGTAAATACTTGGCCGAGGCTAATGAGTAGGATCATCATCGTCCTATAGAACGAGAACGCGGTATCCTTGTTACTTTACGAACCGAGCTTTAGAGTCCTTTCACAACAAAATCCACTTAATGAACTCTATTATAACACGCTGAAAGCTGGTCATAGATGGAAATTAAATTAATTAGTTGTGTGTATTACTATGCTAAACCGTGTTGGGACGTGAACAGTTGGTTACATTTCAGCTCTCGGAATCCAAGGGAGCGGGATGTGCACGGATACGCGGTTTATTTCTTTACGGTAAAAAAATATTTAGCACGCGGGAGGACAAATTGTATTATGGCGTAACGTTGTTGGAGTCAAAGCGGCAACAAGCTCATCGATCGTTGGAGGTTTTCGGGCACCATGCGCGCCAGCAGTTCGCTATCGCGGCGATTCGTTGTCAGTGATATGTGCACGATGCCCGCGAAACCCGCGCCAGTCCCTCTTTTTATTGTCGCGACGAGTGACGTCAATAGCCGCTAATCTTGGAGCACTTCCGAAAATTATGACGCTCGCGGCGCGGACGTTTAGGGCGATTATTCGCTTGACGATGACACACGGCTGTCTTCTCCTACTTTTCTTCATTCGGCGCATTACACAGTGTTTCCTTCAGTGATGCGGAAACGTGATTTACGGAATATGAAAAATTAATTTCAGTTAACACTTTACTCTTACGAAATTTTAAACGTTAACTAATTATACATTTATCAAAAATATCCTCTTCAAACATTTTATTTAAATCAAATCCAATGAATTTTTAAATAACATTTAATATAAATGCGAATCTAATATAAATATCATTTATATTTAAATTTGTTTTAATTAAATACAATTGAATTTATTTTTGTGTATAATTTATTAAAACTTATTTTTAACTTGCATATATTTGGAGTTTAGAAAAAATTGTACATCAGTTTCAGGATTTCACGTACACTGATAAAAAAATATCTTAATCCAAAAAAATATTACTTTACTCAAGAAAATTATTCATTAGATTTCATTAAATTTAAAAAATAATAAACAAATTAAAACATGCATTTCTTTAATTTAAGTAGATAATTTTAAATTTAAAAAATTTTACTTTAATTCTATAAAATGTTTACTAAGATATGAGTTTTACAGCGAAGAAAATTGGATTTTTTATTTGACAAAAACAATGACTTCATTTAATAAATAGTATTCTCTCTCTCATGAAATCTTTAGTTGAATGTAGAAAATGTAATGATTTAAATTAATTTACTTAATATAATACACAGATTTACTTGAAATTTGATATTTTTATTTAAATAGAATAAATATTTACTTCAGCAAAAGAAATAATTTTAAGTAAATCTATTTACTTAGTTTCACAAAAAATTTCTGTCAGCGTACAAAATGAGTTAGTCCCGTTTGATTGACACTCTTTGAGTAAGAAGGATTAAAGTGACATTAATAATTGTCAACAAAATATTAATATGCTTGCGGATTTCAGACTCCAAGCACAATATCGGTCGCGGAAAAGTACGCGCCAGGCAAAGCTTAAATAACATCGTCTATCATAAGACGTAATAATGCAGATGTAAGAGCACGGCCTACATAAATCAGAGCAAATTTCCGGCTGAAATATCGACTGCTCGCGCAGTCTTACGGATTCCCTCTCCGGCGACTCGCGCAGACACCCAGATATATAATCGGCGAGGATTTCTTGGCCGCGTATAAATCGTCGTGGTTTGATAGCGGGCCGCTATCGTTACCCTTGGCCATCGTCGCCGATCGCAAAACACAGCGATTGTCGACGACAATGGTCGTGTTTTCCCCGACGGGAGAGAGAAAATCGCTCGTTTCCCGGCGAACTGCACAGCCGTGAATCGCACGCTTTCCCACCTCTTTCCCCTCATCCCGCGACTGCCAAAGGAAACGACACGTCGATCCCCGGGGGGGTAATGACGCAGCTCGCACGACCCCGTCGTCGTTGTCGCATGTCATTGTCTCTCGCGTTATCGGAGACGTCCAAGTTTCGCGAACCCTCGTCTGAGGTTGAAGGGCGTAATAAGTGCCCTCGAGAAAGCAGCTGCAACTTGCTCGCACTGTGTTCGATTCGCCTGTGCGCAACAGTAAAAATGCGTAGAGGAAAGTCCCCTATTATGGGATAGCGGAGTTTCCGCTAAATTAATAGGCATCGTCTGTTGGTGGAACCGACTGTTTAGTGGAAAATCGATCGCGTAATCGTTGCGAAAAGAGATTTGTGATTAACATTTGGACGTTGAAAACCTACTGTCTCATGACTTTCCTCTACTTTCTAAAAGTCAATCGGTGCATCGTCACTGAAAACAGTTATAAGTACACGGAGAGAATTTTCTCTTAAAACTTACCCTGAAAATCATGTAATCGTGAGACGTTTCGAAGAACTTTATGAGATTTTTCTGAAATTTCGCCATACATTTTACTAATAAAATGTATACCAATTGTAAGTATAATACTAGTAAAATGTATGGTAAAATTTCACAAAACTCTCATGAAGTTCTTCAATTTCATGCCGTATTGTACGATTTTCAGGCTAAATATTAAGAGAAAATCCTCTCCGTGTGCAGCACTGAATAATTCGCTGTTTTCAGCGATAATCCACCGATTGGCTTTTAGAGAGTGCACGAAAAAGAAGAGTACAATGCATAAATCTGTAACATAATTTTTTTGCCTCGGGGCCTAATGTTTAATATCCGCAAAGGGCGAAAGTGATTCATTGACGTGGGTCACTCTCGTGGTACACCCACGGGGGGTTTCATCCAGATTAATGAGCCTGGCTTGACGATATCAGGCATCAAGGCCGTTGTACGGAGCGGCACAAAAAGAAGGGGGAGTCGTCGCTCGAAAGGTACGACTTAAGTTAATCGCGTTAAAGGATTAGCATGACAACGGAATTCGTCTTGCTGCCTAGCCGAATGACTTTTAGAAACGACCGCCGAGTTATTAACTCCCGCGAATTAGGTCAGCTTGCTGTTTCGAATTATTTGCCGAGGGATTAGTTCCGGAGAGTTCGCTCGCGGATCTGTATCCGGACGTGGGAACCCGTGTCCGCGGTGTCGGGGATACATTTCCATCGCCCGAAAGAAATTAAAATTAAACGGCCGGGAGAGACGGGCGGAATAAAAATGGCAATTTCGGGGCGACCCGCCCCGCGATAAGACTTAACTTTTCGACACGAGCGGCCCGTTGAAAACCGCAAAACCGCAATCTCCCGTAAATCCCGGGGCAGAGATACGCGATGACCTAATATGTAATATCGCCGACCGTCTCCTTCGCGCGCGGCGGTTACGGTTCGCAAAAAGCCCCCGGGCGGTTCGCCGGTTGACGCAACGCCGGTTTTAGAGTCTGTTAATTTAGCGGGGGGAGGGGGGGGTGGGGCTTCTTGCGCGCATTGATTAAGCGCGTCACGCGATAGAAGCGTCTCGATTATAAATAATTTCGTTCCAGCGCGTTTTGTGCGCCCTGCTCGGTCTCCGCGCGCGTTTATGCGCGCGCGTATGTATATACACGTATACGTACGCGGGACCGGTCGACGTAAGAACCGCAATATTACTGGCGCGGTTCTGTGCAATGACAGTGGACGCACCGGCTTGCATGCATCTATAGCTCGGTGCTTGGGCTTAGCGTCGGGCGGGCGCACGCTGGCACACATATTCAACCTCGTTTTTGCTTTGAAGCCGCCCGTCGTTTCGGAGTCTCCCTTTGAGTCAAACGCGGCCTGGCCCACTTCAGCTCATCACCCTCGACCGGCGAGCGAAACGCTCCCCCGCGTGTTTACACCGCGAGACACGCCGCGAAAATGCGGGGCGTCAGACGCGGACGGTGGGTTTGCGAGCCCGGTATGTACAACCCGTTGCCACTTCCGAGAGCGTCTTTTCCACGCGGAGACGCCCCACCGTGGTCGGCGAGATTTGGCGGGTGAACGATCGCGGGGTGTCCCAAGGGGGATGTTAAACCTGGATGAATCAACGCATATCGGAGAAGGGAAGTTTCTTTCTTGCTACTTTCGGGATTTTATACAACGGTTTCGTTTCCCGCACGATCCGCACTGGAAGATCACAATTTCTTTCTTCGTCTGTTTCAGCATCAATTATTGTCAACGATTAATTAGTTGAATGTTTACGAGTGAAACAATTAAAAAAATTACCGCACAAGGTATCGGAGATTATACGTCATAGATATTGATTGCATAATGTTTTGCTACCCGCTATTGCCTTTTGTGAAATATGCGATGCATTTGCGGGGCGCGAAACAAATACATCCTTATTTTATCATTTATAATATTTATTGTCTTTAATCATAAACAAAATAGGCGTTGCGTGGGTACACATTGCGTACTACGGATTTCAAGTGCGCATTAAATACAGAAATATATAAATAGAATATGAATAAATTCGTTTTTCATCAAGTACCTCGTTGAGTACCTTCCTGTTTTGTTCACAACGTCGATTACACACAACATCGACTATCTTACGTATTGTGCAGCTTCTCCCATGTCTAATTTTAATCTCGATTCACGGCGAAAACAACAGGGGGTCTTCCGAAATGAAAGCGTAATGAGCGTGTTTCGCGGACCGCAGGTATATTCGTATACGTTTTGTTCTGCAATGCCAGATAATCTCGTGAAGATTTTATAAAACATAAAAAATTTGTATCTCGGGCTTAGTTAATTGAAAAAAAATTGTACTCGCGGCCGTTTCATCCCCAGCTCCGCGATTTTTCTGGGTCGCAACGTTGCCCGCGCAAAGGACGAGCCTTTTAAATCGCGGAGTGAGATTCCACATTGAATCATTCTTATTATCACCACGCTCTTATAACATATGTATGCAGTATCTTTTTAATAATAAGCAATACTTCAACATAAGTGTCAGGTGGCTGCCACTTTCCGAGCGACGGGAGTCGTAAGATGGCCGCTAATTCTGAAATCGTGCTCGCGATTATTTCCGGAATCCGTCCTCCCGATCGATCGCTCGGACAATCGCAGTCAAACCAATTTCATGGCTGAAACTCGAAGCTGTTACTGTAAAAATAGACGACGGCGAAGCCAGCTCGACTGCACGACTGCCGAATGGACGGCTAAAATACGTCGCGATATTTCTACCCGATTACTATCCGAGACTATAAACGAATCACCACCACCGGCAGACCAACGAAAATCGATACTCGTGTCAGACTCGATCTACGGGTTGCCGCTCTCCGACGCAGGATATAATGTGAAAGGGTACGGTCGGTAATGAAATAAATACGCGCAGATCGCACGAGACCACAGGCGAGTCTCCGATCGGTCCCTTCTGAGATGAGCTAATAAAAATATAGCCACCAGAGATTTCACGGTTTTAAACTTAGGTATATATCGATCCACGCGAATTCGTCTAATATGATCAACACGACGTGACGCGCGAAATTGATTGCGAAATGTGCGCTGATGAAACGTGAAGCTGAACGCGAAATGTGCATTTTACGAATAAATAAATAGGGAGATTGGATTAAAGGGGAAATTAATTAAGATCTCTCCGTCGCGTCGCCGGATCGGCGATTATCCGCGATGGTTGGTTGACGATGGATTGGATGATATTCGCGGACAGGGTGTCAGGACGAAGACGCGTTGAATCCTAGTTAACGATGACGATAAAGGAACGTGGTCCATCGATGCCGCGAAACGGTCCGATTTACGAGTCCTGGTCGCCCCAGGAGAATTCATCGCCGGAAGTAACCTCCTCGATCTGCGGTCCATCTTCAGCCGCCATCGGTCCCGTTTGTGGCTTGCTCTCAGCTCCTTCTGGTTCCTCGACGAACGGACTTTCGGCTATCTCGACGACCTCCTCTTCGTGGGCATTCTCTTCTTCGATCTGAAAGGCGAATTTCTTGTGACTCAACTCGTTCAGCGGTATTTCGGGAAGTTTCTCCTCAACTGTCGGTTCTTGAATGAATCCGAACGCGGCCCTTTCTCTACAGAAATTCAATAAGCTATTTGGACACGAAGTTACTAAGTATATATATCTCTCTCACTGGATTTAGAGGAGCGGAGCTTAGAACATTTTTGCGCAGTCACATTGATGTGGAATTGTTCATATTCAATGAAAGTAGTCAAAGTTTAAGGGGAATTAGGTATAGCTTTCGATACTTGAGCGACTGCTTACTCGTGTTTCATCATCTGTGGTAACGTCGTGTTTCTCTTCCTTTTCTTGATCGGTAATTTCACCAAGATCCACCGGTTCCTCGGTGCAGCTGACGTCTTTATTGTCACTAGTTGCGAGCGCAACGTCCGTCTCTTCTTGCTCCTGCTTTTGATTGTGAATTTCTTCGAGATGCTCCTCGACTATCAATCGCTCTTGCTCCTGTATGAGCGCTTCGAGGTTCGCCTGGTTGAATAATCTATTAATAGAGAGCGAGTTAGATTAGATAGATAAAAGCATACATATTTTTTGTCAATTCCAATCGTCTAAAGTCACATTAATATTAATGTAATTGTTCTGAATTTTGTATACATTTTATAATTTTTTGTTTACAAGTTACATAATTTTATTATTATATATACTATAATCATTAATACATATTAGTGTTCTCTCCCTTAATTATTTTTAATCGACAATCGGTGCTTACTTTATGAATGATGATTTTTTTTTACAAAGGACGATTTGTAAAATCACTACCAAGAATTTTCTTCTAAGTAACGAGCTTACCTTTCCCCCTCTTCTATTCTCTCTTCTTCCTCGTGTTCAGCTTGTAACTTTGCGTCTTCCGCCTTCCTCTCAGCTTCCTGCTGCTCGATCTCCAGTATCTGGCCAAGCTCCTCTTTCCGTTCCTGCGCAAGCTGCAACGCCTCCCACGCTTTCTTCTCCTCCATCTCTAGCTGCAGCCGTTCCTCCTCCGCGGCCTTCCGCCTCTCCTCTTCCGATCTTTAAAACAAAGTTATTCGCAATTGGCGAAATTGCCCGGATGCGACAGGCAAGCGAGAGCCGATGTGGAACATAAATAAAAGTGTTTGTAAAATCGTTTGTGAGAGGGAAATTGAAAGCTTGCGTTTTATAAGAAATAAAAATCTAAATGAACTGAGAAGTTTAGTGAAACATTGGAAACAGTTCTATCCAGTTTGATATCAATTATAGATTTGAAAACTGTAATGTTTTCACGCTGTTCTAATCTGCGAATAAATAAATCCTCCAACGTCATCTGAATTTCCCGTCTCAAACTTATGCGATGCGCGGCGACGTTTGAAATTCACATGATACATTATGAGACTAACCACGAATTATAATATACGGAATCGCTAATTAGGAAAATATGCCGGTGGGCTTGTACGTACGTGCTTGCATGTGCGAAAAGCTATCCTCAAGTTTTTTAATGAAGCTCGCATTACAGATATTCCGATGCGCGCGTTTCTCGCATATCTCGCAAGATAAAACTACAAGCCGCATGAATGCGAATACTTTTCACGGGAAAGTTCCGCGTTGAAAATTTATCACTTTTGTCTAAAATTATCATCACCGATAAACTAATATTATTAATTTTGAAATTAGAACAGCCACCACTGTACGTCAGTTTCAATTATGTATCGTTGAAATGATATTCTATCATTTTTTGTGTTTAAACTTTAGAGATCTTATTATACGAAAATTGAATATTTTTAATAGTCGATTGCTGTGTCGAGTAAGGGTGCGTTTTTAAACCGAATGACGTTTCACGAACAGCGAGCAAGGGTCAGATATTTGCCAAGTCGCTTGTCAATTGTCGCGGATCAAGCGGATAATTTGGCCGCGTACATTGCTAATGTTACGCAAAACGATCGCATTTATATATCGAGCGATTATTTTCGCGCGACTGGCTCATTCTGTTGGCGCGTGTCGCTCTTAAACGAAAATCACTTACTGCGCTTCCCGAGCCGCTTTAGCGAGGTACGCTTCGGCTCTCCTCACGGCGTCTTCCTTGTCTTGCTTCACTGCAACATAGTTTCATTAGGTTATCGATGATGGAGATACGATTCGATGGCGAAACTTCACAATGCACGTTTAATGCTAAAAGTGACGGTGAAACTTTATTCTTGCATTTGCTAATTGCGCCCTGTCGAGTAAACACAGAATTAAAAGCATCTCAATAAATATTTAAATGCCGATGTAAAATTAATTTAGCCATTTTACTAATTGAATACTTGGCTAATTATACCGACGCTATTAACATTAATATTTCGCAGTCTACGTTTAATGAGTTAAAATTGATACTATTGGATAGATAGTTCTCAGACAGGGCTCCGAAATTAGAACCAGTTTCACGATTCAAAAGCGTATCAAAGGTGCGTCGTGAATGCTAATGCTTATCCGCCGCAATTATATCTATTTTTAGTCCCGACATTATCTTGCGCGAAGTATAACAATTTTGGGTAGGAATGTCACGAAAACAAAAGACACTCTGCAAGGCAATCTCGACACCATTTTACGAGGAGAGACATTTATCACGAAAACGGGCGAGAGAGACGCTGGACGCTATCTAGACTAGACACATTCATCCTCGTGCGATCGATACGGTAGATGCTGTTAACAACGACACAGAGCAACGATCGACTCTCTGCCTACCCCGTGCGATACCAAAAGGTATCTACCGTTCGCGTGACAGGCTCGTTTCCGGTCGCCGAAATGGAATACTTCCGGCCCGCGGTATCGACCGAGATATCAACGTACCTTGCTGTTCCTTAGCTTCGTCACTTACGGCCTCCGCGCTTTCAATCGGCGCGTCCTCCGCGACCGGTTCCGCCGGCGCCTCTGGTTCCGCTATCGGTTCCGGCTCTGAGATAGGCTCCGGTACCTGCACAGGCTCGGGCTCCGGTTCCTTCACGATTTCTGGCTCTTTCACGGGCTCCGGTTCCGGTTCCGGCGCCGGTTCCGCTTTACGTTCGGTCGTTTTCGCGGATTTTGCCGATCTTGCCGATCTCGTTCCCTTCGTCGGTTTCACAGGTTTCACAGGTTCCGGCTCCGGCTCCGGCTCCGGTTCTTTCACCGGTTCGGCTACCGGTTCGGGCACCGGTTCGGGTTCTTGTATCGGCTCGGACTCCGCTTCGAACCACATTGGTTCCGGCTCTATCTCCGGCTCAGGCTTCTTTTTCGCTTTCTTCTCTGGTTTTTCTTCCGATTCCGGGGCAGAAGCTGCGACGCGTACAGGGCGAACATGAACAAGTGACACAAGGGAATCGATCTGGATTTTGCCATTTTATATGGAGACTTACTTTTTTGTGCCTGGGCTGTTGAGTCGTGGCCTAATGCGCGTACTGGAAATTGTCAGAAGACGTTACATGTGGGAGATACAAAAGAAAGGGCGCAGTGAAACATCACTCAATTATAAAGGCGTACAAAAATGATGATTAAAGTTTGAGTTTCTAGGCGACTTCGAGAATAACTCAAGTTTTATTCACGAATTTATCATAAAGTCGTTGAATTTATTAACTTGAAATTTTAGTAAATTTAAAACTTTAATACGCAAAAGAGATAAATTGTTTATGACATGTTGTTTCACAAATATTTCCAAAATAATCAACGTTCATCAATGCGGAATACATTTATGTTTTTGCAACGTTATTCATACAAATATTAAATAATTTTGTTACAGAATTAAAAATTAATAACGTAAATGTATATTCTTGTGTTCTCTCGTCAATTCCCATAATAGAAATGATAATGTGTAGAAAATATGGAGGTATGGCGTATGAAGGCAATTTTGTACAATGTTTCAACGAATGGATTGTGTCCTGCACTTATGTGATTCACACAAAATGAATTTCTTGTAAAAGCGTCCCCACGATCGCGACTCGATCTTTAATATCTTGTTATCTCAAAAAGGATTATTTTGTGTGTGCCTACTGACCCTTTCGCATCTCTCGTTCTGTCATTGGTTGACCGGGAGCTGTGAGGTACATGAAACATAAAGCACCGATTAGCGACAAAGGATTCTTTTAAAGCTCGCGACACGAATCCAAGGAAGCGGTAAGACACTTCGCGGAGAACGTGACATTAGAAAGCAATTACTATGAATTATATACAACAAATGTGAAAAGCAGTTGATGAGGCATGTTCGTTAGTTAATTACAGAGCGTGTGAAACAAAAGTGCACGACTTTACGTACAGATATGCGGCGAATGAATGAAAAAAGAGAAATAAATTCATAATAATATTAGCTATGGAAGCACTCTGAGGATTAAGGATGAATCGAGCTCTTTTGATGGCGCGAACATATCGTGTACGTCGATGTCTTATCGTCAATGAGGTCGGCAATTAATGAGATCACAATTCGCGTCTTTTCTCGTGAAGATGATTCATTGATCGTCACGCTTCGATTAGCGTCACGTCCGATTAGAGATCACACTCGGTCACATCTAGCGATTGATTTGTCGGATTTTTGTCTCTGAAATCAGATACTTATAATTGGATATTTTTCACAATCAAATTATACAGCTAAGTAACTCTTTAGGTTTCATTCCTTTCCAGTTATTTTTGTATTTTTCTAACATAGATTTGTACCGTTGAATTGTGCGCTGCGTCAGAAATTAGGACAAAACAATTGTTAAGTGCAGTCTGAGTGAAATACCTTTTATTAAAATTCAAATTTTTCTACGTCCAAAAGAAGCGTATTTTTTAAACAGAACAATTAAAAGGCATTGAAACAATTACTCAGGATAATTTATTTTCTCCTCGAGCGTTAATCTTAATAGACTCTACAAATAGGGGATTTCAGAGACAAAACGAGACGTCGTTGGTTAAACTACGAAGCACATGAAGAAGCTTACCTCGGAAACAGTGCATTTATTCGTTACGCAGCTCGCCTACGTTTCCACTATTCTCTCGTGCAAAGTAAAGTAATTGACTTGGAGACTCTCGCTTCCATCGGACATTATTATTTTATTCGTATGTTTTTGTTTGTTGCTACCTCACAAGCACGAACAAAACGGGATTTACAAAATCGAAACGGTAATCGCACGAACATCGTGATGCAATACGTGCAACATTGGGGTTAGCGTCTACAATTTTATCTCTGTTTCTCTCTCTGTGAACGCGCGCAGATCTCGCGATGTTTCGTCGCATTAATTTAATCGATTCCCTTTTCTCCTGTCTCTTTATCGCATCTTCTTTCTTTCGTGTTCGTTTTCACTTCGTAGATCGCATCGATCGGGCACGATCGTTTCGGTAGTCACGACAATTTTACACGCCCGTCGCAATTTCATTAAAGTCCATCGAGTAAAAATTGAATGAAGAACGCTCGGAAAATACAGCACGTTCTATGATTATTGCGAATATCGGCACATTGGACTTTAATGAAGCGGTCGACGAGCACACGACCGGAATAGAAGAAAGGAAAAATAAATAAGTGGAGACGGATATTAGATTTTTTTTTTCGATCATGACTATCCCCGGTAGCTGCGCGCAGTAAAATAATTCCGTTCGGACAGAGTTTTTGCCAGGCTTGCGAACCGAATATAAAACTGCGTTTAAAACACTGAAGGAGCTAAAGTTCTAAAACTGAAGTCTGCAAACTCTTCCTGCCTCTCGGGTGTCGTAATATAATTAAAAATGGAAACGCGCTTATTGATTTGTCTAAAGCTATTTCATCTGTGACAGAAATCTTTGCATATTTACACAGCTCTCGCAATAATTTTACTCTAGAACGATATTTTATTTATTGAAATGAAAATTTATACAATTCAATTCAATCCCATATGAGATCATATTCGTGTTTGTACAATCTAGTTTCGTTCCGAAAATTTTATTCTTCTCTTTATCGTCACTTCTCTACAGTTTTCTTTGCTAATTTAGAATTCGTTATTTTGTAACAATTGCATAAAAATTTTATCGAGCACTGTCTGTAACGTTGGTTTTTATACATTTTAATAATTCAAACCTCATTGACGAAAGGCTCGCTTGAAAATTTGACGAATAAATTCTCATCGTGAAAAGGAGATAAAGAGTTCGCTTTCGGTTTGCAATCCTGCAGCTTCCGCATATCCGTATGATGCCTGCCGTATCTTATCGCGCGCGAATACGTCACTTCCGGAACGTAAAAGCGGACGGTATCGGCCACAGTTCGCGTGATGATGAAACGACGGCAGTCGAAGTCACTCCTCGGCGGCGGCCTCCGTCTCTTCCGCCTCTTCCTCGCTTGTCTTGCTCGGCTTCTGGTACAGCTCCGGCACCTTCTCCCTCCAACCCAAGCCTGAAACGTTCAAAAAAGCCGCACTGCTTCCTCTCTCTCAATTTTTGCTCTTATCCGCGAGCGCCGCAAAATTCTGCAATTGGCGCGTGATCCCAGTCTGGTGTTCCGCCTGGAGTCCCCGTCGTGTATATGTCTTGCTCTCTCTCGTTCCTTCGTTTCTTTTGATATGACTCACGATTTTTCTTTTTGGTCACTGTGTCGTTTTCGCCGTGTTTTCCGGTTACCGCAATAAAAAATAGCGATAGGTTCCGTTGGTTCGTAAAAAAGAAATGCGAACCGCCGCCAAATCGATGGATCGGTCTCACCGATAGACCGAATCAATCATCCCGGGGAAAGAGCATAACTCGATCTTCTTACGAATAAGATTAGCGACGCAACTTTATAATCTGAAAATATACGACTCTCAACATGTTTATAGACTTTGTCGCAGAGTGCATAATAATAGAAAAAGATTTCCTAAGAACGATAACGGAAATTAACATTTATGCTCTTACCGCAGAGACAATTCAATTGTATATCTTTTCCGCAGAGCTATAATAATAATAATAAAAACGCGCTGTGTCGGATAACGCATGACGGGATGGTTATCAAAAACGGATGCGGGATACGTGGGGGGTAAGTGTGTACGTTGCTGTTGTACTGATTAGACACAATACTATCGAACAGTAATGCAGCCACGACAAAAAGAGACGTACAAAAAGTAAGACCAATTGTTGTGTGACCAACAACAAAACAGCAAAAATATCAGATAAACACACGTGCTCTCTAGCACAAACAAAAGTTTTTAGACAGTGTAAACCAGAGGTGCCAGCCAATCCAAGAAAAGGGATGAAAAAAAAAGTAGAGAAACGAGAGGGCGGGGGGGGGCGAGAGGGCGGTGGTGGAACGAGAAAAAAAATATACAAAAAGAGAGGTGCACACAACGGCGTCGTGGGGCCGTCTTTCAGATTTCCAAATCTATTCAAAAATCATGTCTCGAGCCGCGAGAACGTAGCGTAGCTGTTTTTTTGTTCCAAGAGCTTCCTTAATATAAGTATCTCTCTATGAGTAAATTTTGGCGGAAACAATCAAATAAGGATGCCAATATTTTTACAAAAATATAATCACGAATGATTGTCACGAGTTGCAGTTATGTCGAAATCAATTTTAACGAGCTGTTACAAAATTAGATATTAGATTATATCATAATTGCAAATTAAAATTCTTGTACGTGTGGCGCTTCTTTGAGGATCTCTCCGCTCCGTTCTCGTCAGTCTCGCGCCTCTAACTACGTGCTTCGTGTACGGATCACCATGTGTAACACCGTCAAGACGGGACCGTTCTCGAACAGCGTTTCACTCCCGAAGAGCAATCTCTTCGAGGCTGAAACGTGCATCGCGACACGAACCCCGTCTTCGTTGTCGTCATCGTCATCGTCATCGTCACCGTCGTCCTCGTCACCGTGATGGATTACTCACAGGCAGTCGCGGCCGCCTGACGGTTCTTGCTGTAGTAGCTGAGGAAGTTGACGTCGTTGCGGATATCGGAGGGCCGTAGGTCCGCGACCTTGACGTATGGTCTTCTGACGAACTGCGGCTTGCCGGCGACGTACTTGATGCACGCCAGGGTGCCGAAGGCGCCCCGGTCGGGCACGTCGTACCAGCTCAGATAATCGAGCTGCTTCTTCGCGTTGTTGCGGCCGGTGAGCAGCCGGTGAACGTAGTCGTGGCTGCGCATACGTTCCGGCACGATGTCCTCGAGGAAGTCGCTGGAAGGCGGGAAGAGATCGATGATTATCTCGCAAGCGAAAGCGGCCAGCGCTACTCTGCGACTTGGAAGCGTAAATTGCAAACGAAAACTGTGGAGAAATATTTGCTTCACTCATGCCTTAGGATATTTTTGTACTTTCATTTCCGGGTCACAAAATTATTTTGAGTACTCTAACTCTAGAATATCAATTTAATAAGCGTAAGGGGTCGAACGCGCTAAATTTCCTTTTTCTAATTATTAAAAAGCGATTCGGATGATTGCGATGCTATACTCTAGTCAATTTAGTTGAGTAATTAATTGCACACCATTTTATTTTCGTCGGATACCTTGCCACTGCCCTTGGCACGTACACGTGGACGCGTCGAAGAAGAGAATCCACTCTCGCGCGAATCTCCCTTGCCTCATCGTCGAAAAGCTGCGAAGAGACATATGCGAAACGTTATTTGTATGAATTAGTCAATCAATCTCTCGCATGCATTTACAGTTTTGATCATCGTAAACTAACGCGAATGATCTTTCAAGTTTGCACTTTTCTTCACGAATTTAAAAGTAGGCTCTTGTTAATGATAGCCTCATGTCTTAACTTTGATTTCTTGATATAATAGTATATTAATTATATTAAACGAGGAATCGGATTTAATCGGGTTGATGAGTCGCGGCAAAAACGTGGGTTTCATCATCGATGACAGTATCGAATCTTTTGTTTTTCCAACGCAATGTTTCTACCGAACGAACAGAATAAGCGGCAATCTGCGATTCAAAAATCTCGAGTCGCAACTACGGATTTTTTCTGTTATAAAAGACGAATGAGCATTGCAACGACGCGATGTCCGCTCGTGGTATCCGATACAAACGAACGTTGATGAAAAGTAACGACGATGACGATGTCGATGCGGATGGTCGCCGTGAACAATAGCGACAGTACAAGTTTTACCATGTGCTTTTAGGATGTTAGACTGATTTAGATCAGAGAGAAAGAGAGAGAGAGAGAGGGGGGGGGGAGGGAGGGGGAAAAAAATGAGAGAGGGAGAGTGATACTAGACTAACTGCCGGACTTACTATATTGTCTCGGGAATTTAGGTATTCTTCAATGTAGGATCGGGTGGACACCCTCGGCAGGTAGCGTATCCTGTTGAGCTCAGCTGCGAGGACGCTGGGCCGCACGCGCGCTCGCACCCTTATCGGTATCATCGCGCCAGTGTAGTATGCATGATGGACCGGCGTGTGAATTATGGTGACCAGCCTTTTGTGCGCCACGTATGGCATATAGGGCACGTAAGGAACGGTCCTCAACTGGAGGCAACGAACGTCTCGTTTTTACTAATCGCGCTCGTACGGCAGCGGCGAGCTGCGAAGCGGATATATTTCGCTGCGAGCCAAGATGCCAAGCGGTCTACTCTTTCGGTGACGGTCAAATTGTACGCGTAGATTCGTAGGCTTTTTGCGATTACGGGCAAAATAAAAACGGAGGAAATTCAAGAAGCGGGCGGCGAGACGTTTTTGTTCGCGATAAAAAGTCCGAATGACAAACTTCCTTAAGCTTCTGCCTGGGGGTTTATTAGAGCAGTTATTGGGGAAAGAAAGATTCTTTTCTCCAAAGAAAAAGGGTGGATCCGATAATCCGAGCATTCAGAAATTAAATTCGCGTATTACATGAATGAAAAAGTCTACGGGTCTTTGTATTGCGTCAACATCGAGATTTGCAATTTATTTTAGCGCATTAAATGCACTTATTTTAACATAAAATTAAATATTTGATTATCTAGCTTGTATTAATAAAACGCCGTCACCAAAAGATGAAAAATAGTAAAGGCGTAGCATTCGATGCGTTCCAGCGATGAGTAGCGACATGCCAAATGATCGATACGTAAACGGCATGGATCGCACACGAGAGGTTTCAACGTGTAATTCCATTACCAAGCTTTTTAAACGTATGAGCATGTCAATGAGGAATGTGGCAACGGGGATTAAGCAACGCGTTACATTACCTTGAATTACGCGCGACACCATGAAGATGAGTATTACTGCGATGAGAGGTAGCGCTTTAGAATTAGTAAACATCGAGATCTGAAATTAATTAATGCGAGACGCATGACATTAATTAGCGTGAGAGCGGCAAAGCGTCGTTACATCTATTTTTACTTGCATTTCCTAGAATTATCTGCAAACTTTGCGTAACTTTCTGTCGATGTCGTAATACGCAATGTAGGAATTAAACATAGTTAATTATACATATAGAAAAATTATAAAAGTTGAACATATAAAATTACACATTATCATCGAGAGGTGTTATCGAACGCAGGCAAATCAAATGAATGCTCGACGTTCCTTTCGATTACGTATTTGTATACGTATAACTTCTTTTTAAGCTTTAGTACATTCTCAATTTATTAAGTTCCACAAATCTGAACAATTTCATTTGAATAACTTTATTAATGTTCCTTAAACTGAACAATTCCACCTGAACAATTCACGTCTTAAATTGTTTAATTTCGGTTCTCCTATAAAATTACGCGAACTCTTTACCAATTGTATTTCTCAAATTTCATTCGTACTATTTGTACAATAGTTAACTTATATTTTATATTATATTTTAGCTATATATTTCTATAAATGCAATTTGAGAAAGACAATGTCGATCTAGTTGTAGAATCACGCAAAGAGGTATCAGTCAATTCTGATATCAAAAACGTTAATTGAATTTGTTCGATTGGCTCCAGCAGGACAATTTTCCAATCCAAGAATTCAAACTCGAACCGCTGGGTTTACGCGAAGCTGATCGAAAGGCACAACCAACCGTGCGCAAGTTACTCGCTTGCGTTTTCAACAAAAAATAATGGAAACTAAGTGTCTAAGTTTCGCATAAATGGAGCTCTAAGACGAGAAGTACGATCTCGGAAATCTGCGCAAAGATCAGAATCGACGATCGCACCTGTTGCGCTTCCGGTGACGAAAGTCGAGCATTTGCCGTGCACTGCGATCGTAAACCATCAGCTGATGGAAGTACCTACCTGGATGATGCTGGAGAGCGGTAGGATGGTGATAGGTCGATGGTACTGCATCGCGTTTACAGACACGGGGAGGGTATTTTATATATTTTTTATTTTATCCGTCGAGATATCCAACGACGACGACGGCGGCGGCGGCGGCGGCGACGACGGCGGCGGAGGTGGCGGCGACGAGGAACGGGGAGTCACATGTGAGAGGCAGAGTAAATAGAAAGAAGAACAACTCGGTTAGCGACTCTCGGGGTGGTGGTATCTGTATCGTTCTTTCTTCCTCCGTTCTCGCTTTTCCCTCGCTATCCCGTTTGCCTCGCCCTCGCTTTACGCTTTTTCGTCTCGAATGGGGCAGATCAGGAGGGAGGAAAGGGTCGCCGGAACAAGTGACAGAGAGGGAGGTTCACAACGAAGGTTTGTATGCTGCGACGGATTTCTTTTCGTGACGCTCGAGATAACCCAACTTGGCCAATTGTCGCGTTGTGTGTCTATCGAGATGACGACGGCAACGACGACGACGACGACGATGATGATGATGATGATGACGATGAAGATGATGATGATGATGACAATGATGACGATGACGATGAATATTGTTAGTCGTGGTTAATAGAGCTTACTTCGCGATAAGACTGCCGGATGGAAAGCGGTTCTTAATGCCTTGCTACGACGTTATACGCAGAATAACCATAATTTCGGGAGACAAGACAACGCAATCCAATCCAATCTTAACTCCCCAAAAGTACTGTAGCACACAAATCACTGTACTTTCAAAGACACTCGAGTCTATCGGCGAAAATTGAATTATTTCGCCACGCTATTTTAGAAAAGTTCAGGCATCAATTTTAAAACAATTTAATTGAGGATCTTTTAATTTTAATATTAATAAATGACGTGATGTTACGATAAGTATCACGTCAAGTCAATTCGTAAAGAATAAAATAAAGCCGTCTATTATTATTTCATATATGCTTCTGTATAATTAACGTTCCCGTATTATCTCGACGGCATCTCGCGCTCGAATGAGAAGCGACCTGTCCCGTAAGAAATGCCGATACGTTGCGTCGCCCTCTTCATCTTCCGAGATTATGATTGCCTGGCGTATAAATAATGCGACGGACGTCTCGCAGAACGACGCATCTTTACGCGATCGGCACTCTACTCTAGAAATATGATTCACGCTCACTCGGCTTGTACGAAAGGTGAAAACATCCCCAAGGGAGAGGGAAGGCATATCGCGTGTTAGGGGGAGGGGAGCGGATATTATAGAGAGCGGACGTTTAACACACAAAACAATTGCGCAATCCGCGAGAACTCGGATGCCTGCAGGCAGCGTTCGATTGATTCGCGATCGATCGTCGACGTCAATTCGCACGGGATGGACACAAATCTCTACAGTGCTGTTTTATGTGCGATTTATTGCCGTGGCTGTTTACAACTTGCGCGCCAAGCGCGAAATTCCGGAGGGCTCGTCCGAAACTCGTCGATTTACAAAGTCGGATGTGCATGATATATTTTTTGGGGGAATCGCCTGCTCCTCTACATGTAGGATCCGCCGATTGTCGCACGAATTACTCAGCTCGATAAAAGTATTGCCTATTGCTTTCGCCATTAGCGCGACTAGCTCTTAATTTATCTCTAAATGCAACTGCGCGATGCTCTATCTCCAGCTCGGGCTACGGCACAACAGCGGTGATTACAACAGGGTGACAACATCGAGAGTATCAGGGGTTTTCCTGCCGATCCCGCTGGTGCACATTCAAAGCGCGAAAAATCCTCTTTTTTTTTCATCGGACGTTCTCAAGAAAATCAAGCGTTACAAAACTGACACTGAGGGGGGTGACAAAAGAGAATTCTGGGTCGGCGTGCGACAAAAAGATTCCGCTCTTATCGATATCGACGACACCGAGTGATTTGAAGTTCCGCGACTTTCGAGTTGACGTACGATTCATTTTCAGTTCGACAAACAAATTTATCCAGCGGAGCGATCTCCTCTGCGGGGAAGAAAGTACATTTATTCAATGTTACTTTACGCGCGGTCGTTACTGCCGCTAGATTTAACTTGGCGATCCCCGCCGAGGGGAAGTCTCCGTCGACGACTCGTAAGATCTAACTTTGTAATTTTCGTCCAAGAGGGAGGCCTCCGTCATCGATGGATATCCGCTTTAAAGCGTTCTCCAAAATGGCGCAACTCGATTTCCGCGTATTGCTCGCGTCGGTGCCGGGCTTTGCTAATACCGCAGGACGTGTTTGTGGCGTTCGCGTCCAAGTAACGTGTTCTCCAACGCGACACCGCGAACAGATGCGCCGACGAGTAGCGGGTCTGCGGCGTTTCACCAACGTCGGAAATGATGTATCATTCACGTCTCGCGCGCGTCGAGGTACCGCAGACCCGTTTTCGGTGCCGTCGTTAAAAGTCGTCGAGATCGATGAGAGCGGAAGCGCGATCGGCGTGAGGGGGGTGGATGTGCCGGGGATTTAGACGCGGTAGGAGTAATGGCGGTAACCGGTGCCGCCGGGCAAACGACCGGAAGCGGTGGACTCGTAGGAGGAGCGGTAGCTCCCGGGGCCGCCGCCGGACGATGTCCTGGTCGACCTCTCGGTCGAGTACGAGCCGTACGGGCCGCTCTCCCTCTTGACGACGCTCTCCTGGGTCTGGGTAGTCCTCTGAGGACGGCTGCTGTACGGGTCCGCGCTGGAGGTGCTGCTCGAGCTGGTGTTGGTGTACGAATAGTTGTACTGCTCTTGGGCGGACCTCACCCCGGTGTCCGGATAGTCGCGGACCACGTAGTGGCGAGGCGTCTACGGATTCGGGGTTAGATCAAGGTCAACGACATGGAGGAGAACAGGCCCGCCTCCGGAAAACGGAGCGGCGCCCGGCGACTTCATTTTTCCACCCAGCACGCGATAACGAAATTCAACGTGACTCCACTTGTCAGCAAAATATTGCCTAAGAATTATTCACGGATCGCGTTTATTCTCCTCAAGATTATCGATAAATAGAAGAGAACTTGCATACATTTATATATAAAGAAATTGTCACGGTGGAAGTTTGTTAAGAAATTACACTCTGGGGGAAAAAAAGGCAGTTAGCAACCCAGTTTGGGGCTCACAATTAGTAATCGAATTATTTGGATTGTTCATAACTAAAAGTCGCAATTAGCTATTCTGTCTATATCCAAGATTTTTAAATAACACTAATCAAAATTCTCTCAATTAGTTCTGTCGATATTCAGTAACGCAAAGATAATTTTCACTGAAGAGGCACTAACCGAAATGTCAAGTTGCTTAACTACAAAACAAAACGGTCTAAATTTTTCCCAGAGTTACGAACAATCCAAATAATTCGATTACTAATTGTGGGCCCCAAAATGGGTTGCTGTCTTTTTTCCCCCCCAGAGCATTTAACGAAATTTTATAAAATGACTTCGATTGTGCGATGTAAATTGCGACAGATTTTTTCGCTTATCCAATGCTTTAGAGGCACGAATCCCATGTGAAGTTATACGCCAGATATTATTTTCGTCTCGGGACGATTCGCGCAGTTCTCCATCCGCGGGCCGCAAATGGATTGTCGGATCGGGAGACGGGGTTGCATCCAAGAAATCTACAAACTCTATTCATATGTGAGGTTTCATGATCGACTTTTCTGGCCGGAGAACAGGCTGAATGTTAAGACATTGTAACTTTTAATTTACAAGCGAAGATACAGGACTTTCTCCTCTCGATAATCATACTTTAAATAAAATTTTATCTTCGTTTTATCTTTTAGGGCAAAGTTTAATAAACTCGCAGTCTCTGATTGTAACTTTATCGCGACAAAAATATTTAATATTGAAACTCGAAAACTCGCCAAACAAAAGTTAAATGAAATCAGTTAACGGATCTATGGGCGAAAAATTGCCCACCCGAGGAACACGTTGTATTCCGTACAAAATTACAACTTTTTCCAGCCGTGTAACTTCGCCCTTTTGCACTTCGCGAATTTTCCTCCCGTCATCTTCCGCTTTTTCGCGACAAGATCATCCTTGCCTTCCCAAAATATCATTTGGCCCTGTTCTCCGGCCGAGAGAGGCGCGCGACATGCGAGGCGAGAGACGTGAAAGGTGGAAGGTGGACGAACAGGTGCATCGCTGCGTCGTCTGGCTCGACGGTGTCCGTAACTACTCGCGCTACTCGCGAATAATTAACCGCGCGTCGCCGCGCGGGGAGTAACGTACTCGCGCTGCCAGTTCATCTATTCTGAGAGGGAGAGATTCGCGAAGTCGTTTCTCATCTGCGTGGACCAAGTTTGACCGGTAATGCCGGCCAGATGGCCGGCTGGGCTCGCGGCCAGATAAGGAGAAAGTTGGCGGGATCCAGACGACGCCTGGAACCCGTTGGACCTTGCGAGCGCGATTAACCCTTTGCTGTATTATTTCGCGCCAACAAGATAAACGTCCAACCGTAGTTCGAACTCCCGGCATAATTCTAACTGTATTTCCTTTCGATTACACGGGGGAAACGCACGTCCGTTTTATAGAATAAGAAATTTTCATTTCAGTTTTTAACAGTTTTAAATTTCACTTTCCCGATTTTTATTTTTAAATAACGCGAAGCGAAACGTCTCCTCGTCTTTCTGAGATGCAGGCCTATTATTCTTTCGTTTTATAGCATTAATTAACTTCACCATTCGTGTGATTGAGACAACGGTCAAACGTATCGACGGCGAACGACGACGAATTACGGTGCAAAGGGTTAAGAGACTCGTGGGAGGAGGAAGTCGAAAATGCAGGACACGCGACGTGAGGGATTTTTCACTCTGAGGCGGAAGTGACGGATACCGGCGACATGTTCGCGATAATAACATGTCGATCTATCTGTAGACACACAACGTGCGGGCCAATTATAAACGCGGAGCGGTATGTAACATATGCATTAATAATGTCTCCTTGCCGAAATATTCAGGACACGCCGAGCGTTGGGCAACGATACGCGGCCCTTGCCAAGAAACGCGTAGGTAACATTTGTGATACGCGCATGTGTGTGCGTGTGTGTGTGTGTGTGTGTGTGTGTTG